AAATCATGCAGAATATTTCGTAGCAATCAATGATGTGATGGAATTGGGCCAGCTTTGAACGAAAGCCCAAATATGAAGTTCAACAAGTCTTGGTCTCTTGGATACTTGTTGGAGCATGCGCTGGTAGGCTAGATTTGGGCCTGCATCGAACAGGCTGGCTTGACCTCTGGACTTGGGCCTTAGGCCCAATTCTTAAGTTTGCTTACAGGTTTCGTTAAACCTGGCCTAGCCACTATAGGCCCAATTCTTAAAAATGCATGTGTGAGCCTGTTTGTAGAAACATCAAATTGGAACCTTGTGGTCCTTGCCCACCATAGCCACTTCATTCACTTCCTCTTTTACCTCTCCCTCCACAATTATTCATTCTGTATTATTTTTCTAATTTCATAGAATGCTGGAAAAATTATGTCATTTTTTGTATTAATCTGTGGGAGTATTCTTTGAAGCCTTGCATTTTCTTATCTACCAAAAAAAAAAAAAAAACTTGTATTTTCTTAAGCTTTAATACCTGATCCTTCTACATCATGCATTTTGGTAGTCCATCAAGTTGAACCACGTGCGAGCCCATTTAAATCCCATCTAAAGATTATAAAAATCAATACAAATCTATTAATAAAAATATTAGTTTATAACTACTTTTTATTAATTTAAACCCATATAACTAATAATCTAAATACATATATAAAAGGCAACTGTCCATGTCAGCAACTACTCTCCATTGAGGTAAAATATTTTTATATTTTTTTGTTTGTTAGAAGCTTATATGCAAGTCAATATGATACACCACATATCGGGTGTATCATATTGTATCGGTGGCTTAACGATATGCCCTTACAGAGGTCATATCGGGGTCTGAACTGTTTCAGTGAGTAGATCAGCCTTAGACCGGCCCTCTGAACCAGTTTCAAAGAAAAAATGGGGGGGGGGGGGGGGTAGCAAGCTTCGGTATAGGGCAATATGCCCTTACTGGCATATTAGGTTGTATCAATATATATTTTAAACCTTTCTTACAAATTATAGTTGACCTTTTTTTTTGGTATTTCGTAGATTTAGTTGGCATTTGCCACTATCTTGCTTACCCACTCCTAGACTATTACTCTCATTAATCCTCATGTTTTATCTTAAAACAGACACACTCTCTCTCTCTCCCTCCCCCACATTACTTAATAAATTAATTATAAATTAATGATAAAGTTAAACTTTAAAGTTTAATAGTAACATCAATGGAATTAAGTTTACTTAATAAAATTAAAAAATATATATTTGAAAAAAAGTTGAAAAATATTTTAATTAATTGATGAAAATAAAGTAGAGTTAACATATGACTGTAATGACATTTAAGAAATTAGCTAAGTTAAATGAATTATTATTTTTAATGATAAAGCAATAAATGTTATTAAATCTAAATAATTATTATCAATTTAAACTTAAATTTCAATGTTTTAAAATCTATTTAAAAATGATATAAAAATATTAATCTAAAACCTATTTAAATCCCATTTAAATTTAATACGAGTAACATTTGTCCACTCTTACTAAATGGTGCAACTGTTTTTTTTTTGTATTACATATTATAGACCATAAGAGGATCAAGGAGTTACATTTAAAAATAATTACTAAAATTTTCAAGAAAATTTAAAAATTTCATTTAATAAGAACGAAATTTCCAATAAAATTAATAATTAATGGAGTGTATTAACTCATTTTTAATTTCCTACTATTTTGAAAGTCCATTTAAAATATTAGAAATTAATAAAAAAAATATTAGTTGGAGTGTTGTACAACTATATTAATTTAAAATATATTTAAACCCATTTAAAATGAATTGTTGGACATTCTCATTGGATGGTGCAACATTTTTTTTTATTACCTATCAGAGATTATAAGGGGATTAAGGTGTAGGGACAACAAGGTGCACATAAGGTCCATTGACATTACCACAAAGAGCCTACACTTACATAGGTATTGAATTGAGAATGTCATGTCATGTGGTTGAATTGGATTTGGACTGCCTTTGCCAGTCGATAATGTCATACGGACCCTTTTGCCTCATTTTTCACCTAACAAAATTTGTGCATTTTGTAAATTAAAAAAATGCTTACAGTAATAAAATTTTAAACTAATTAAATATAAGAATTAATGATAGTTTAATATCTAAAACTCAACTTTTGCCAATTTAAAGCTCATACGAAGAATACTAGAGATTAATAAAAATTTATTAATTTTATACTTATCTTTCAATTGTCAATTAAGATATGTTTAAATTTTACATAAATTAGTGAAATTGAATACAAAATCTGACCACTATCACTGAGGTTGTAACTTGTATGCATTGTGTCACTTTTACGACCACTTTATCACTTTAGCCACACCGGTACCACGTAATTTAAATAAGTGTGACCAAGACAAGAGAACTTTGCACGGATGAGGGTAGTTCTATTGGAGATTGGGTTTTATCTTGAAGACCTCGGTGGACAATCTCATATCGACAACCCTGAAAGCCTCATTCAAATAAGACATGGATTTTTGGCTATAAAAAGGTAATTCCCGCTTAATATAAGGGACTTTTGACTCTTCAGCATTCATGCTGTTATTCTGCTCGGATTAGCATTGCTCTCAACTGCTCGGCCCGACCACCATTTCTCCCCACTGACTTGAGCGTCAGAGTACCTACTCAATGAACAACTCCTCGGGCCTCTGACAACTTTCTTGGTTTCAAATCTTGCCATGTGGCTTTGTCCAATTGGCATAATTATTTGATTTCAAATCTTGCCATGTTGATTTCAACAACATCAATGCTATTATTGGTCTCGATTTTTTTATAGGGTAAATTACAAAACCCCCCCCCCCCCAAACTTTTTCTATATTCTTTTTCTTTCCCTTTTTCTCTTAAAACCTATTTAACCTAGGAAATGAATATCTTTGTTTTGGTTGTTGGTTATCTTCGTTTCCATGGTCAAAACATCATGGCCACGTACAAGAACTGTAGAAGAAGTACCTGCCAACCAGCTTTTATGCTGTTGAGATCTGGGCCGTCAAAGGATCCAGAAAGACTAAACTCGTTCACCACTTGGATTGATGCATGGTTTCTTCTCTGCTTATCTGTTTGTCTGTAACCTTCCATTCCATTGCAACCATAAACCATCATCTTCTTCTTTGCTTGCTTGGTATTAAGATTACAGAAAGTCTGAGAGGAATAGATAGAACACAAATACCTCATGGCCATTGCCACTGACCACATCAGGAGCATTAACGTATCTGTCAAGAGGAAGCCTGCGTATGCGTTGTTTCTTCTCAAAGTAATACAGAGATTTGTCTCTCAGCACATCATTCATTGAGCTTCGCCTTATGGGAACCGTTCCCAAATGGATTCATCATAAGTTCTACCACATGATTGATAATTTCATTAAATATTATTTGCATATCCTGTGGTGTTCCTTCGTCAAATATCCTTTGCAAAATCCGACAACCATGCTGATCCTTTGCTATGAAGTAGATATAGCCTTGGGCTTCCAGCAATGAATTATATTTAGGTGGCAGAAAAGGGCAATAAATCTGTGGACTGCAACCATTTTCAGAACTCATAGTAGGGATTCCTCCAGAGCAGAATCGACCATCCAACCCAGAACTCTTATGCCATAGGTGTTCTGTGACAATTGCATTGCCACAACCTTTTTTATGTCCTTTTGAATGATCATTTCCCTTGTTGATCACATAGTTCAATCCTTTTCCCTGTATGATGATGCTATCCTCACAATTAAATGCCTCAAGATCTTGCATATTTCTCATTGATGGTACAGATTGAGCAGCCCAACTGTTGGGAATTTCTCCTGCCCTTCTGTTTAACATTGGAATGGTGTAGCCCAGTTGATTTTCTACACCCGAAGGCAGCTTTAAATGTGTCCAATGAGAACTTTATGAATTCAATGCAACCCTGTCTCCACTAGAAATTATCCTATTTTGCTGTGAGAATAGGAAAGAATCGTTAGCAGAAGGCCTAGTTAAAGAAGGGATTACATTTGGTACCCGAATTCCCCTATGGTACAAGTTCCTACCAAAAGCAAAATATGCTCGGAGTTGCAAATTATTTAAGGTTACATTGTTTGCATGCTCCCATGGAGGATTGATTTGGTCTACGAAGCAACTTGGCTGAGAAAATTGCACATCAGGTCGACGGGGAGAGAACAGGGCCATGATAAATTACCGAAATGAGATCCCTGCTGCATTCTCCACAATGCCGACGACATCTCCTCGTCTAAATTATGTTGAGCCGTGGAACCAGAGTAGTTAAGGTCTCCATAATCAGAAATTTCTCTGGTACAACCTTCAAAAGAACCATTGATTTCGCCTGACTGGTGAATGATCATTATACCAAAAACCACTGTAAGGCTCTCTCTGAAACGCTCTGTTCATCGATAAAACCTCTTGATCATCTCTAATATGCATTTTACTTAACTCCTCCAGTGGAGGAGGAGTTGGTGATCCGTCGTCGGGTGAGGACAACCCACCAGAGAATGAACTCGAAGAAAAAGAGCCTTGGGACTGCAGCGAGACTCCACTAATAGGGGGATACCAAAGAACATTGGACTTGGAAGAGTTCTCGAAACCAACCGCCATCCGGTGAGAGTGCTTTCCCAACTAAAGAGCACTCTCATATTGTCTGATCTTCTCCCAAGCATCAGTCTAAATGAGGGGAAATGCTTGAGGTTAGTTTTGAGATTCAATCGAGAAGACAATGAACAATATAAAAATAGTACTTTGGTCATTTAAAAAATTTTAAATAATCGGATGAAAATTTTTTCAAGTTAACTGACAGAATATTAACGGAAGGGGGTTTTTGTTTAATGGATAAAGTTTAGGGGGTTCTGTCGCAAAAAAATACAGGGGGACTTTATCACTGACCCCATAGGACAAGGGGGTCTTTGTAATTTACCATTTCTTATATCATTTTACAAAAGAAAGGAATCTCCTTTTCATGGGCACGAAGAAGTGAATTTGTGCCGAGATTGTCAAAAATCAAAAGTAGGACGTGCCCAAATCAGCAGTTCAGCACTTTACCTCAAAAAAAGGGAAAAAAAAAAACAGCAGTTCAGCGCAAGAAAATATATAACAAAGCACAGAAAAGCATATGCCGATTAAGACGGGGTGAAAGGAGAAGCCTTCATCGGCTCATCATTGCCATGGAAGCTTAATAAGAGAAGGGGGAAAGAGAGAGAGGGATACTTTCTTGTTCTTCTAAACCAGAGCGTTCTGACTTCTGAGTCTCTTCTTTAAAACTCTATGTGGACATAAATAATATGTTGTATCATTTGCAAAATTTGGAGGCAAGAGCTTAATCACTATTCTAAAAATGTGTAATTCTGATTGAACCTCACAGCAGAATGGTTTTATCGAATAGTTTCTGATTGCAGAAAGGCTGATTAACAGTGATTTTAGGGTTTGTAGGTGATTTTCGATTTTGGTGGTTACTTTGGAAGGCGAAGTTAATTGGTTCTTGATCAGCTTCGACACAGCTAGGGCTTTTTTTTTCCTGATTGGAACTGTTGGTTCAGCGATGCCAGAGTTTGGTGGATCAGGGAAAGTTTGATCGCCGCCGAAGGCGTGCGGCTTCTCGTCGTGAGGGGGGTTTTGTATGGAAACGCGGAGTCGGAAGCGGGCGGAGGCCTCCTCAGCAGCCCCTTCATCTCAGCCCACTACCCGTTCGAGCAAGAGAGCTCGTCTGTCTGTTGCATCGCCCTCGTCTATTCCCTCCATTTCGACAATTTCCACTCGTTCCCGCCAAAATTCACGGTCCCAAGAATCATTGGCATCTGCTGCTCCCATGGATTCTAATAGCGAATCATCTGGTTCTGCTTCCCGCCGCGAGTCATCCAGCCGACGTGCAAGGAATCAGGGTTCGGAGAGAGAGAAAGATTCGGATAAAGGGAAAGAGAAGGAGCCTGAAATTAGGGCTAGGGATAGGGAACGAGATAGCTTAGGATTGAGTATTGATGGTAGTGGCGGTGGGATTGATGATGATAATGATAGCGAAGGAGGCGTTGGCATTTTACACCAGAATTTGACCTCTGCGAGCAGCGCTCTTCAAGGGCTTCTTCGGAAACTTGGTGCTGGATTGGACGATCTTCTTCCTTCCTCTGCTGTGGCAGCAACATCATCCTCTCACCAGAGCGGGCGGCTTAAGAAGATATTGTCTGGGTTGCGTGCGGATGGAGAAGAAGGGCGTCAGGTTGAGGCCTTAACTCAACTCTGTGATATGCTCTCCATTGGGACTGAAGAATCGCTGAGCACGTTCTCTGTTGATTCATTCGTGCCTGTTCTTGTCGGACTGCTTAATCACGAGAGCAATGCTGATATCATGCTGCTAGCTGCCAGGGCTCTCACCCACCTTTGCGATGTGCTCCCATCGTCCTGTGCCGCTGTTGTTCACTATGGCGCTGTTTCATGTTTCTGTGCACGGCTGCTCACTATTGAGTACATGGACTTGGCTGAACAGGTGCATCCTTTTCTTTGTTTAAACATTTTTCATATCCTTTTCTTCCCTGTTGGTTCTATTCAAGCAAACCCCCAAAGTAGGGAACAAAGTAAAAGAAAAGAGAGGAGGAAAGGTCAAATTTTCTGATTCCTATAGGATCTGGTTGAGAATGCCAGTTTCATTCCTTGCCTTAAAATCGCTATTCATTTGATACTTGCTCTTTCACTGGAGTTTGATAATCTCATATTATGTTTGTTCCAATGCATGCAGTCTCTGCAAGCTCTTAAGAAGATTTCCCAAGAACACCCAACTGCCTGCTTGCGAGCAGGTGCTCTTATGGCAGTGCTATCTTATCTGGACTTTTTCTCGACAGGAGTTCAGGTAGTTTTAAGTCTTTTTGTTAATGTTGTTTTCCAACTAGTTAGGTTGCTTGTATGCTTCTTGGGAGGCTGAGCGAATAATGTCTTTTTGTGTCTGCTTGTTGTTTCTGTGTGTGTGTACACGCGCACTTGCTTCATGTTCCAGCGAGTTGCATTATCTACTGCTGCAAACATATGCAAGAAACTTCCATCAGATGCAGCCGACTTTGTGATGGAAGCTGTACCACTGCTTACAAACCTTCTTCAGTACCACGATTCAAAGGTGAGATTGTCATTTCCAAGTTTCACGGTTCAAGGCTTCAAGCAGTACTCTCTCTCTCTCTCTCTCTCTCTCTCTCTCTCTTTCCTCCTGTTTGTTCTGAGTTTTGGCGTGTTTATTACTTGCAGGTTTTGGAGCATGCTTCTGTTTGCTTGACTCGAATTGCAGAGGCTTTTGCATCATCACCAGAAAAATTAGATGAACTGTGTAATCATGGACTAGTAGCACAAGCTGCATCTCTTATTTCTGTAAGCAATTCTGGAGGTGGTCAGGCATCCCTTAGCAGATCTACTTACACGGTATATTCAAATTCAGAGTTTTGGATTAATTGCTTATTTTGTAGGCCTCCTTTGTGACTTCTATCCTGTGCAGGGTTTAATCCGCCTGCTTTCAACATGTGCCAGTGGGTCTCCTTTGGGTGCCAAAACTCTACTTCTCCTTGGCATCAGTGGCATTTTGAAGGATATTCTTTCTGGATCTGGCCTAGTTGCAAGCATTTCAGTTTCACCTGCTTTAACCAGACCACCAGAGCAGGTATGTGCGTCTTGTTTAATTAGTTCATGTTCATAATGTATTTTTGGTCATTGGAATGATAGGATGAAATACTACTTATTTGCATGCTTCATACCAAAGACACATTCCATATTTCCACTTAAATATGGATTATTGACACTTGATAGCATTTCATAGCCCATTGGTTCATGGATTCAGCTGCTGTCTTTTGAGCAGGAAAAAAATCTCAGGAGAACACTTTATTAGTTTTTTTTTTTTCTTTCCATATTGCAATTACAAATGTCCATCACTTTCTCCAAGTAGAAAAATGGGTATCTCTAGGCTAGTTGCTTCACTGTAAGAGAGTAAACTTAATTTTCATCTAAGATTTGCAAATCTCACAGCAAACTGAGGAATTTGTGAGTTGGCCAGGAGTCATGAAGTTTTATTGAGGTGGTTGATGGTGTTGAGGAGTGGTTCATACTAAAAGGAATGCATTTTGGCTGTAAATGGAGAAATTGGTTGAGGTATGTTTAACCATGCCATCCTTCTTGGTAATAATAAATGTTACTTTGCAAGGCAAATATTATAGTTCCTGGAGAATTATGCAAGGTGACCCACTATCACCTTTCCTATTCTTTTCCGTCACTGAGGCTCTTAGTCTTAGCAGGTTAATTGATAGGGCTGGTCAGGGAGGCTTCATTAGGGGTTTCTTTGTGGGAGATGAGATAGAGGAAATCTCACTTTTTTTTTTTCTGTGAAGCTTCACAAGAGCAGATGATGCACCTAAGGTTCATATTTTTTTTGGTTCAATTATTATTGATAAAAAAAATATTAAGGTGGTTGAAAGTCATATCTGGTTTTCATGTCAACTTGCAGATAAGTGGCTGTTGTGGAGATACCTGAATTAGAGCATCTAGCAGATATACTCGGGTGTAATGTTGGAAAGCTACCAACAAAGTATTTGGGCTTGCCACTAGGGGCTTGATGCATTTCCCAACAATATTTGAGATCCAACTGGTAACAAAGGATATAACATTAAACAGAACGGAATGGCGAAACAGGATTCATGTAGCTGACCCCAAATATTTGGGATAAGGGTTGGATGATGGTGATTTGGGATCTTATGGTAGAACATTTTGATAAAAGACTGGCTTCTTGGAAGGCTAGATGCCTATTAAGGTCAGTAATTGGGAGTGTATTATCCTTGATTCCCTATTATTTTCTATCACATTTCCCTTTGCCATCTACAGCAGCAAAAAAGTTGGAAAAAGTAATGAGGGATTTTTATGAAGGGATGGGATGGAAGGATGATATCAAATTCCATTTGGTTGCTTGGAAGAAGGTATACATGCCAAAGAATGAAAGTGGCTTGGGGAGGGCTATGAACACTGTCCTGCTAGGCAAGTGGTTTTGGGGTTTCATTGAACAACAAGACAACTTATGGGGGCAAGTTATTTATCCAAATATGGCACAAGAAATAGGTAACTTTTGGAGGGATAAATGGTGTGATGATCTTCCACTTATGGTGATTTATCCAAATTTATACATGGCAGTTTATAACAAGGATGTACTAGTTAGTGATTGTTATGAGATCCATGACAGCACAGTTGTATGGAATTCCTGATTTAGATGTTAGAGAAATGCCTACTGCTGTTGAGAAGGGGCATGGTGATGGATAATAATGATTGTATTTTGCTCTGATGAGTAGGAAATGACATACTATTTCATTGCCATTTTATCCAAACATATAGGAAATGGTGTGATGATTTTCAACTTATGGTGATTTATCCAACTTTATACATGGCAGTTTATAAGAAGGATGTAAGTGATTGTTATGAGATCCATGACAGCACAGTTGTATGGAATTCCTGATTTAGATGTTAGATAAATGCCTACTGCTGTTGAGAAGGGGCATGGTGATGGATAGTAATGATTGTATTTTGCTCTGATGCGTAGGAAATGACATACTATTTCATTGCCATTTTATCCAAACATATAGGAAATGGTGCAGCTTCTTTGGGTGGAAAGGTTTAAGTGAGAATATATGGGGGATTCTATCAGTTGCTATTTTTGGGTGCATTTGGGCTGAGAGAAATGTATGCCATATTTTAGGAGAAATCAAATGCAGAGGAAGCATTATGAACCGAACTGAATGGAACGTTAAGTTCTTGGTGGTCCATACATAAACTGTTTAGAGATGTTACTTGTAGCCTGTTTTTGGAAAGGGTCGCATTATTTAGGGCATAGTGATATACTGATCCAACCTCATGTATATTCCCATTGTACAGGTCCTTGGATCTAGGGATACATATGTGGTTTTTGAAGCAGAAGTTTACAAGTTGTAGGAGCTGGATATTTATTTCTTTATGGAAGGATGAATGGTAGATTTATTGGTATGTCACCTAGGTGGGGGAGTGGGTTTCATTGGGGGTGTTGGTTATTTTTTTTTTTGACTTGTTCTGTTTGGTAGGGGAGAGGAGAGATGAGTGATTTAGTGATGGGTGTTTAAGTTGGGTACTCCTGGGGATCTTGTTGTATAAGTGATGTTTGATCAACTGAATTTGTATTTTTTAATATCAATTAATAAACTGCCTACATAGATGGTAGAAGCCCATTGTAGCACCCTTGTTTCTTTCATTCTTAAACTAGGAAGGGGTGCCCGTGCTGAGCATGGACATGTAACCAGAAAATAATTACTTAATTTTTATAAGGATGAAAGCTAAAATTACTTAATTTTATTAGATATCTTTATTAATTTTTATAAAGATAAAATCTCTCTCTCTCAAATATGGCTCTGGGTTCCACACAACCCCCCCCCC